AACATTTACCTCAAGTTGATTCGAAAGAAACAATTTGCTTCCCTCCAATACTAAGAAAAAAGCGTTGCATTCATAATGATAATAGACTAAACTATAAGTTGTTGTGAAAAGATGAAACGGAATTTTAGGACAATTCATGTGAGGATCTAATTCAAAATGTAAGTACGTAAGCCTTTCTTATGATCAATGAATTTTCTGAATTCCACTTCAGATGTAATCGAAATAATGTAGCCTATGTATTTATAGTTTGGTTTAATTGTGAAGTATTACCTTCTTAAACAAGCTTCCTATTTTCTTTCCCGATGCCCGAGTATGATTCGTTGTGAATAGCCAAACTATTTTTTAGTATGTCATGTTTAATAACCACCAGAATGTGTCATTTTTTCTTTAAAACAAGGCATTATTATACTGAGATTTTTTTTAATGAATTACGAAGTAGTTAATTTTTATCTATTTTTAGTAGTTCCTTCTACTATTGAAACACATAAATTTGATATCTACTTTACACCAATGAACCGGAGAATTTAGATGCCTTAGCTAAGACACTATCTATTGAAAATTAAAATAATATTTGAAAATATGATAAAGTAAGTTTTAGTTTTCAAGTGAGTATAGATAATTACATAGACAACTATAGATCAAAAGTTGAAGTACTCTACATGATAAACTATAATATTATATTATTGTAGTACAAATGTTTATATATGTAACATTATTTATGTATTGGATATATTTGGCACATAGAGCATATCCCTTCCACTTGTATAGGAATACTTGCACATAAATAAAACTATGATTTTCTTATTAATAAAGTAAATCTATTGGAAATTATAGGAAGGGGAAGAAGGGACATATATTAATCTTATTTTTGGAATAAAAGGATTGTACTCCTATTGTTGAATTTTGGGCTAATTTTAGTCTTATTAAGGGCTAATACCCGTATGACTTATACATCATCGTTTTTTAGAATTCCTATGTGATTTCGCCGTTTTCTAATTCTGTAAAACAAAGAAAAGGTACTATGAAAATAACCTTTATACGATAGTAGAAAACATGGAGTTTATTTTGTTTTTTCACTAGTGTAAGTCTAATGGGCAAACATTTTACATGAAGTTTATTGTTTTTCCCCATTTAATCATCTCCTCTTTTTCTTTACTAACACCCCTAAGGATGGACAGTTTGGTAACTTTCCTAATACCCCTAAGATTTGATTGTTTGCTACCTATGGTAGTTTCATGAAAGGTAAACCAAAGTAAACAACTCTAGTTTTATACTTCTACCTTTTCCTACATTCCTTCCGCATTTATGTGAAGAATATGTAGTAGTTTTAGAGTAAATAGGTGAAAAACATCAGTTATGCATAACCAAGAGTCATTTGTTTTGGGATGTGCAAAAAGAAAATTGATTCAATCCTCTTTTTCTTTACTAACACCCCTAAGAATGGATGGTTTGTAACTTTCCTAATATCCCTAAGATTTGACTGTTCACTACCTATATTTCAAGAAAGCTAAGGTGAACCAAAGTAAACAACTTTGCAGTTATATTACTACTTTTGCTGCATTCCTTACACATTTTTGTGGAGAATATATAGTAGTTTTAGAGTAATAAATAGGAGAAAAACATCAGTTGTGCATAGCCAATAGTCATTTGTTTTGTGCTGTGTAAAAACATCACTGATTTATTCTTAGAAAATATAGTGACATAGTCTCAAACACCTAGCATGCGTTAAAAAAGATTTTAATGTGAACTCCTAATCCTATCCACGTAACAATAAATGCATTCATGTGAATTCAACTATACATTTCAAGTACGGTATATGTTGTACGCATATAGAATATTAAACAGAAACGTGAAAAACACACCCAACCAATGGATAAACTGCGACAAAATAAACACAGGAAAAGAGGTGCAATGGTGACTTGGTGAGCTAGAGTACTCATCATCTATCAATGATAGTGATCGATAAACATTAAGTATTGGAGGGAAGAATAGAGAACTCATGTGGAGAAGATGAGAAACCTAAGGAAATCCCCTAATTATATGTCGACTATTTATCATCTACCAAAGTGTTGATGAGGGCCGCATGGAAAAGATGAGAAACCTAAGGAAACCCCTTAGTTATATTTGCACCGGAGGAAGAGAGGGAAATAATCTCAACCTGAAATTTCATTGAATAAGAATAAGAATTTATTTTTGATGCCCCAACTTCTGGAACGCATGTTCACAGATTGGAAGACTATGGCGCTTTGGCTTCACAAACGGATTGGAAAAAAGAAGCAATCCACAGTAGTTAGTTTTGTTTAAACGGGTAGACTTGACTCCATTAAGCAAGTAACGATCTCTAGGCGTCTACTTATGCGTAATAGTCAGCATACATCAATAGTAGCACAATGTAAATCAAGATAAAGAAAGGTCCTAGGAGGGTCTAACACACAACCAAGCATTTAATAAGAAAATCTGTCCTTTATTAAGATATGTTATGATAAAGGAGCTTGTGTTACTCAATCGTTTCTTATGACCAAACTAAAATGTTGAACACAACATTGAATTATGGGTTTATTCTAATACCTACATGTAATATACATCCTAGTAATAAACTGTGGTGCTCACTTGTAAAAATTCTTTGAACTAAATTACTATTTGTTTTTTTAAAATACAAAGGCTTGCTCATAAATCTTGATTGAAATCACTTGAACTCCTTCAATGTAAACTGGTGTATAACATCTTTGATTTTTGACTCCTGCATTCCCAGCTGTGCTACTTAACTCTTGTCAATTCAATCACCTGTACAAAAATATATGTTACTTGCAATGGTAATCCACCTATTGTTAGGTCAAATTTTTATTGGTGGAAATTCATAGTAATTCCATTGATATTAATGTAAGGCCAATATAAATGAGCCCAATACCACCTTTTTATTTGTCCTAAAAAATTCAATACTTCAAGCATTTTGTATTTAAGAGAGTTTTTAAGGATTTTTTAACAGATTATCAACGCCTAACATGGCAACATACATTACTGATTTGTTTACATTGATGGAAAAGTTACTATCTAACACATTTGTTTATATAATGATTTTAATTGTTTTATTTTAAAATTCTCTATTTCAGGAAGTTGACCGGTTGAATGATGTTAGCAAATCTTGATGAATATTTTGTGTTTTTATTATTCGAAAATTGATGTGTATTTTTCATACCTTTTGATAATAAAAGACTAACTCCAGTGTTTGTCATCTCCATATGAATAGGTTCTCCGTGTGCTGAATTGAACTGTGATCCACATCTTTGATAAGAGGCCACACTCCCTTTCTTGTGAAGTAGTGACTGTCATTGCTAAATTGTTTTGAGATGAAGTGAATCTCCTGAAATTGGCAAGTATTTACAGTATTGTAACTGAGAATTGTGGTGGTATTGTTGTGTGTTTTGCGGTTGTGGATTGTGATGGTAAGCCAAGTAGGAAGGCCTATTTATATTACATTAGTCAGTCTTTGGTACATTGATCAAAGTTATTTCCAATTATATAAGACTTCATTAAATGTTGGTTTCATAACCCAGTTGGCGTGTTAGGTAGTGGCATTCCATTTTAAAATGCTAAAGGTACCTTAAAGTTGTACCCCGTTTTTATTCCACCTCTAATTCTGCGATCATAAATGGGGCAACTCATTTAAGTGGTGCCCCACTTAAATGAGTTGCTCCATTTATGGCTACACATTAGAAGTGGGGTAAAAATGAGGTACAACTTTGGAATAGCTTTAACATAGCTCTTCCATTTAATCCTCTGTGCTGCCTGCCGGAAACAAATATCTCTTTGCTTCATACGAAATCCTAATGCATTATATTGTTTGAATTTTTTTGAAAAGACTTCACCACCAAAGTTGCTTAACATTAAATATTCATACCTTATTACATATACACGACATCTTGCTACATACAGTCAACTCAAACACTAAATGCATGAGTTGGACTGTAACAGAGGACCATTTAGTTAACCGACGCATGACCCATTAGAATGAGCGGGAAACTCCCCATTAGAATCTCCACACAGTTTTGTATATAGAACAGGCGCGGAGCTAGGAAACTGGGTCGGACTGGGCTGGTATAAATAATATTTTTAGAAAAAAATTTACACGAAATTTTTTACCTCAAAAGTTAAGCCATTTTAAAATTTGTGGTGGGCCATGACTTAGGTTGGCACACCCCTAGCTCCACCCATGATATAGAAAGATGTGCATATATGCTCCTAAACTTTTAAAAGGTGCAAAAAATACCTCGTACGCTCGCATGTTCTCATAAAAATAAAAATCTACTAGTGTCCAATTCTTCATTTTATTATTTATATCACAATTTAATATTGTTTGTATAAAATATTATTTCAAAATTTACTATATATTTAAGACTTTCTCGAAAAAGTGTTAACATATGTGTTGCAATGTAAAAATAATCATTAATTTTTTGTGTTCTTTGCACTATAAAATTAAATTACATATTTTGTATGATGGTGAATAGTCCAAGATTACAAAATAGTGAATTTAATTTTATTAAAATTAAACAATATCAAAGAATGTTATTTAAGAAAAGTAACAATTTATACAAAATTTAATAACAATACTAAAATTAATATTTTTGAATTTCAAGTGCTTCATTTATAACAGAAAAATAATAATTTTGCAATTTAAAATTAAAGAGTTAATATTTTAACATAAAAGTAAATTTTTATTTTGAACTCTTTAATTTTTTTGTATTTCAATTATGAGTTTTTAATTTATTTTTAGTGTTTTTAAAATTTATTTTATTTATTTAGAGCAATAAAGGTGAACTTGTTCTTTTATATGATCATGAAAAATATTGTTGCATTTTAAAAAAGTTCAGAAATAAATATACACATCAAATTACCGTCAAAATAACCCGGCAGAAATATATATTTATTCCAAAAAATAAACCAGCAAATTACCTTCAAAATCTCTTGTGCAACACAGTAGCAGTTTTCCTGTCCTCTGAATCTCTGATCCGAATTCCGATGGAAACCGAGAAGGATTGCTCTTTCAACCAAGTGATTACTTTTATTCGTTTATTTCTCTTCCCTTTACGGAGCTCTTGTTTTTAGTTAATGTTCTTGGGTCTGTAACTGATCAGGACTTGATTCACGAAATCTTCAAGCTCGTCTGGAGAAAAACTGCTGCAGGTCCTGCCTTTTCCTTTTCGTTTATGATCATTTCCTTCAAATTCTAGTTCTCCGACATATTTTCCCTCCAGATCGCGAGAAAAACGAAATCTCCCAAACTGTGGACGCCGAGGTTGTTGGAGCAGCTACCACCTCCAGGAAAAACCGCCCTACTTATGGTAATTTTATTTACTCGAAATGTTTAGTCATATTCGAAACTTGTTTAGATTAGAAATAGTACCGACAGCTATACCTGAATGTTTGAAACCAGTGCTAACAAATGTTAAGCACATTAAATTCGAGTACACATCTGTGAGAATTTATGGCCAAAGCCCGGTATTGGCAGGTAGTGCTGCTGATATCTGAAGTATTATGGCCGAGGGGCATGTCACATGTGCCCTCATCCGTTCCACTGGTAGCCAGATCAGTAGGTTTCGTACCCTTGGCCGGCCGAGGGGTGAATAGATGGAAGTGTCCGGCAAATAAGTTAGTAAGTTCACTCAAGGTTCCCTCGCCTAGATGAGGGCCCCAACCGAGGCCATGATGGACTGTCTGTTGGGCTTGCTACCAGTTGGGGTGGTTTAGGAGTTTTGTGAGTATGTGGGTTGTGGATCCGAGCTCATATACTCCATCACGTACTGCCACTACTAAGTACTAATACGGATCATTTTAACCTGTCCTAGGAACATCTAAATGTTCAAAATGGCACGCCATCCTGTAGATTTACATCTACATAATTCCACATATCTTAGAGATCAATAATTTGTATTGTAGAATGAAGGGTCTATACTTGGATTTTTCTAATGCCTATAGTAAAAGAATGAATTTCGTTTTTTTTTGTCAATTTGCTTTGATGATTGGGCTATCTATTCCACCTAGTGAGTTAGATGATGTATAGCATTTCAAAACAATAGGATATATCATACCTAGTATTATTAGAGTATCTAGATTTTTTGGGATGAAGATTGTGTTGTTTGTACATATTGACAGTTTCATAGTTTTAGCTGATTTGGTGTATTAAATCTCTTTGCATTTTCCAATCATCATCATTGTTACTCTCTCCCTCCAAAAAAGTACCCATGTTTGTAATACTTGTTTTGAATTAGATACACAATTCTGTTTTTCAGAAGCGGTCAGTACTTTTTTGTTTCTATTTCAATTTACATAAACTTACATTTAGAGTAAATACCCAGTTTGGTCCCTTTATAATACATGACTATTTATTTCGTTCCTGGACATTACTATTGGAGTGGATTTGGTCCTCAACTATGGAATTTGGATGGAATATTGTTTCATACATCTGTGGTTAGGTTCTACATAAGAGGCTTCTTCTTTCCATTCACTTAACTTACCCAATTTTGGACACAAAAAAAAAATCCCAAGCGTATGGAAATAACCTTAAACGAATTAGACATGAGGACTGAATTCAGTATAAATTGCATAGTGCGTAGTTGAGGACAAAATTGAGTCCAAAAGGAAGAGGATGAATAACTTGAGCGATAGTGCATAGTTGAGAGATAAAAAACCTGGCATTAAATTTTAAGTTTATAAGCAATTTGCTTGGCAATATTGGTTAGCATTTATGCTCAGCTCTCTCTTTGCGTTTTTTGAAGGATCTGTTGTAGAGAATTTGTTCTTGATTAATCTTTACCTTTTCCAACTTCCAACGTTTTTTATCTTTTTTATTTGGTTGACTACCAAAGTGGTTTAAGACTTTATGTTGATGCGTGCAGCTAATGCAGCTGCAGTGAAGCTTAGTTGTGAACTTCTTCGGGTTTTTGTTGCAGGTTTGATGGCTTTGATTAAAATAACAATTATTCTCCATTTGGATATTGTGTTGTTTGTTGGCATTTTGTTAAATCCCCAATTTCTCGATGAATTCATGAAATAGAACAATTTTCGTTTGTAATGTAGAAGCTGTACAACGCTCTGCTGTGATTGCTGAAGCTGAAGGTACTGATAGAATTGAAGCAACACATTTAGAGAGGATACTTCCGCAGTTACTTTTGGATTTTTGAGGTACTCCTGAAACATTGAGTTATGGTATTTTTAAAACCATATTCTGACAATTTCTGCATTTGAAGTGGCTAGAGGATATGTAATACTAGTAGTATTTTCTGCAAACAAATGTGATTTGATTTGTAAACCAAATGTAATTCTTTTTATAACTATCAATTAGACTTGCTGTAAACAAATCTTTCTGCAAACTTTGGGATATACGCTCCAATGCTCCATGTTGATATGGTATATATACACGTTGCATGTTGATATGGTACTAAGTATGTTTTTACATGGACTTTTCAATCCCATATCAGACTTAACCAGATAAGACTTCCATAGTTATAAAATACGCAGAGACCAGTCATTTATCAGACCAGACCAGACTTAAACATACCAGATCCGACAAGCAAATTTCCATCCAAATAAAAACATCCTAAAAGGGAGTGGGTTGGGTAAGATGTGATTATATCACTTGAATGTCTCACTTAAATTTCAGTCCCAAAGAAAATATCCTAAGTTGTCTCAGTGGAGTTTAGTTTTGTTCACCCTCCTCAAAGGAGGGTGATATTAGTGAGAATAATAAACAGGCTTAACTAGACTGGTAGCCCTGAGAGTCTATTAATAGAGAAATAAGTTGTCTAATACAATTATGATACTGACTAATAATTAATTCTTATTATTCTACGCTATTACATCCCCTCAATCTGTAGAGGAGGAACTACGCGTAGATTGTCTCGTAACAATAAAAATTGCTGAGGAACCAAACTCTTGGTGAAGATGTCACCCAATAGAAACTTCGTAGGAACATACTGCACTAGGAGATCACCATGAGCCACACGTTCCCGAACAAAATGATAATCAATATCAATATGCTTACTGCGAGCATGTTGGATGGGATTGGCAGATAAATAGGAAGCAGATACATTATCACATAGCAAACGAATCGGGCGAAAAATAGGAAAGCTGAGCTCGAACAAAATAGACCGAATGTGTAATGTATCCTGAACAGTATATGCAATGGCTCTATACTCAGCCTCGGTGGAGGAGCGGGAGACAGTAGGTTGTTTCTCGGACCGTCAGGAGATCAGATTAGGACCAAGAAAAACAGCATAGCCAGACGTGGAATGACTAGTATCAGGACAACCAGCCCAATCAGCAATAGAGTATGCCAGAACCGAGTGTGGGTGTGTCGACGGCTGTAGATGTAAACCGTGAGCTGTAGTGCCCTGTAAATACCTGAAAATTCTCTTAACATCCAACCTATGTGAGGTACGAGGAGCATGCATAAATTGAGACACCAAGTGAACAACATATGTAATATCAGGTCTAGTCATAGTTAAATACTGCAATGCACCTACCATGCTACGATACTCTGTAGGATCAGCAAGTAACTCACCATCAGTGAGAGAGAGCTTGGTTCTAGTCAATGTTCTAAAAGGCGTAAGGCGTGCCGAGGCGGCAAGGTCAAGCCTTAAGCCTTTGGAGCCTAGGCGGGTTTAGGCGGGGTTTAGGCGTGATAAAGCGTTTTGATTTTTTATCCTTTATTTTAGTTTTCCTAGAGTTTTTATAAATATTTAAATTTAATATTAAAATAAAGATATGCAAAAACATCATAAAAGTTAAACATAAGTAACTTAAAAATAAAGTTACCACTATAGTCACTTTCTCTTAAAAATTACATTTTTATAATCAATCACTGTTTTAGTTATAAATATAAAATCATTTCTTCTTATTATTATCATTATTATTTAGGATAATAATATATTATCAAACAAATTTCAATTTAATAACAAATGGACTAGTTGGTTTGCTCACTTGCTGGATGTACGAAGTACTCTGTATAACATTTCTCCCACACCGGAGGGCAGCTGATCTATTCTATAACATTTTTGTATAAACTATGCTTCTCCCACACAGCTGCTTACTCAAGGCATTCAGTTTTCCCACACCGGAGGGGAGATGAACTACTCAATAACATATCTCTATAAATTAGGCTTCTCCCACAAGGTTGTTTTGATAAGGCACTCGTGGGCTTTTCGACCAAATATTGGATTAAACGGCCCAAATCGAGACCTTGGCTTAGTCGGCCGCCTTTTGGCACGCATAATCGGTGAGCGAGGCGTTTGAGAGACGCGTTGCGCCTATTCTCGCCTAGGCGGCGCTTTTCGCCGCCTTTTAGAACACTGGTTCTAGTAGCTAATAGCGTGCGAACTGATTTAAGAGTATGAAGATCTGACACATATTTGGCTTGAGATAAAAATAAACCAGAGGAATTTTGCACAGCTTGAACCCCCAAGAAAAAATGAATATCCCCTAAATCTTTCATCACAAAATATTTCCCTAATAAAGAAATAAAATTACGAATGAGAGTAGATGAATTTCCAATAACAATGATGTCATCCACGTACAAGAGTAAATAAATTAAACGTGTAGACTGTCGAAAAATAAACAAAGAATTATCAGCACGACTACACAGAAAACTATGAGTAAGAAGGAAACTACTGAAACGGTGAAACCATGTCCGGAGAGCCTTTTGAGATTATAAATGGCCTTGCGCAAGCGATAAATATGATTAGGGAATTGTGGATGAATAAACCCGAGTGGTTGACGCATGTAAACCTCTTCTGTGAGATGATCACGAAGAAAGACATTTTTAACATCTAACTGACGAATAGGCCAATTAAAAGAAATAGCTAAGGTAAGAACAATGTGAACAATGTGGGTTTAACAACAGGACTAAAGGTTTCGGAAAAATCAACCCCAACTTGTTGTTTAAACCCTTGGGCAACCAGACGTGCTTTATGACGTTCAATAGAGCCATCAGACAGATATTTAGTTTTATAAATCCATTTAGACCCGATCACATTTTTGCTAGAGTCAAACGGTACCAAGTCTCATGTTTTATTAGTGATAAGTGCATTAAATTCCTCAGCCATGACAGCTCTCCATTTAATATCATTATTAGCCACAGAAAAACATGTTGGATCAAGAACCAAAACCTCAGTACTCAAGTTAAAAATAGTTTTTGGTTTAAAGATTCCTGATTTGGAGTGTGTTTGCATGGGATGAATATTTTTGGGCAACGAAGAATTAATCATCTGGACATCATCCACCACCCCATCAGTCGTGGCTGATGATTCCGTCGAGCCAAAACTATCTGGCGAAGCAGGTGCACCACTCCTAGACGGACTGACCGGATTGGATTGCATCGTAGTATTAGCTGGCGGGGAGGGCAACGATGGTGGTGGTGAGCAATTATCCAGAGAAAAATCCACCGGGGTATGTGGTGGTTCAGTAGCAGCAGACGACTCAGAGGAGAACTGAAATAAGGACCAGTTGGACAGTGGGTGACTCAGAAAGACTACGGGGCAGTAACTGGGAATAGGGAAAAATATTTTCATAGAACCGGACATGGCGACTGACATAAAGGATGTTTTTACTTGGAATGTAATTCCTCCTAGACCAGACCAGATCAGACCGGACCAGACCAGACCAGACTTGGATAGTTATAAAAATACAAAGAAACCAGACCAGACCAGATCAGACCAGACCAGACCAGCAAATTACAGTCCAAGTAAAAACATCCAAATTGTACCAGTTTGTGGATCAAGACAACGATATTATTTATATTCAGACGCATAACCTAGAAAAACACATTGAACAGACTTATGAGACAATTTATTAGAAGAGGTGGTCGAAAATTTGGATAACACGCACATCCAAACACACGCATAAAAGAGAAATCAGGAGTCCGGTGAACTAATTTTTTATATGGAGAAAAACCAGTAAATTTAGTAGAGGGTAAATGATTAATAATATAAGCAGCAGTCAAAATAGGCTCAACCCAAAAATGAGCTGGCAGACCAGCATCAATATGAATGGTTCTAGCTAACTCAAGTAGATGACGGTGCTTACGTTTAGCAAAACCATTCTGTTGAGGTGTGTCAGGACATGATTTGCGAAAAAGAATTCCATTAGAATTAAAAAATGACCGCATACTTAAATTATCAAATCAACCCCCTCCATCACTTTGAAAAATTTTAATTTTATGATCAAATAAATTTTCCACCAGACATTTAAAGTATTGAAAATGATGAAAGACTTCACTTTTACGTCGCATGGGATAAATCTAGGTAAAACTTGAAAAATCATCAATAAAAGAAACATAGTACTTGAAGCCAGAAGAAGATAAAATAGGAGATTGCCACACATCTGTATTAAAAATAATGGTTTGCTAGCATAATGAAAAACATCCTGAAAGGGTAATCTCTGAGATTTGCCCAATCGACACGAAGAACAATCATGATTAAAAGATGACTCACTACAAAGTTGACCAGACTTTCTAAGACCATCTAAAACTCTACTACCACAGTGTCCCAGACGACGATGCCATAGAGGTCCACTCGCCGTGCTAGAAAAGAAAGCTACAACTGGAAAAGGAGACAAGCGAATGGGATAGAGATTGTCGCTACTGGAAGCTTGGAGGATTGCCCATTTGCCCTCGTGGTTTTGTCCTTAGAAAAACGGATTTTTTATCAAAAATCACAATGCAATTATTGTCAGAACACAATTTTTGAATGGATAATAAATTATATTTGATCTATGGAACATGATAGACAGATTTTAAATGAAGAGGCCGTGAAAGTGAATTAATGGATATACCACCTATTTTTTAATGGGTAAATTAGTTCCATTAGAAACAGTAACCGTAAGTGGTCCAGAATAAATTGATTTATTTGCTAAAGTACCTTCCTGAGGAGTCATATGCGCAAAAGCACCGGAGTCCGAAAACCAGACAATGTCATTAGCATTACCCATTGGGGCAGTAAGAGCTGGAGCTGAGGGCTGATTAAAGGGGACATGTGGAATAGCAAATTTGATAGACAACTGGTGGGGGAATTGAACCAAACTGTCCATCAACTAAAGGTGAGCATGCATAGCCATGGTTAGTACCGGAAACAAAATAGGAATGCGTGTTTAACGATGAAAATACCGAATATTACATAAAACTGAACCTGGATGTCCGTGAGGAGTAGAGGCTGAATAGTATCCCTGCGGGTAGTAACCGACTGGTGCCTGCTGTCCCGGCCGTGGCTGTGGACTGTAGCCCTGTTGTCCGTACCTAGGTTGGCCATAACCCTGCTGTCCGTACCCAAGTTGACCATAACCCTGTTGGCCGTGGCCCTGTTGGCCGTATCCTCTACCTCTGTCGCGTGACCCCTGGCCGCGACCCCGAGCA